GCAGTGGACACGTAGCATTTGAATGAAATTGCAGCCACGAAACGCAGCTGGTGGCGAGAAGAGTTCGACGGGAGCAAAAGTTGGGCGGAAAAGTGTCAGCCTGACCATCGGGTTCGATTCGATAAAAGATGGATGATCCGACATCGAGCGTACGACCGATCGGTCTCCGAGCTGACGCTCTCGAAGATGAAATGCACCCTTGGCGACCTCGAAAGCGACCCTAACGCTGCGTAGGATCGCGCACTGGCAACGCCACTCGACTGGTCCGAGAGGCATATTTACGAGAAAGACGCGTGCCCCGCGTTGGAAGCTACGATCATCCCCTGGATACGTCCGATTTCGAATACAAATTCCTCCATATGTAACTCGGAGGAACGGTTATTGGTTCGACTAAGGGTTATTAGGTCCGGTAGGTGAGCCTTTCCTTCCTTTTCTGGTCACCAGGCGTCCCATCTACTACCCCGAATTCGACACGCCGAATGGCGTCCGATCTCCAAACACTCTGGAATTTATTTATGGTAAACGTTAGAAGAATCATGAAGAAGATTCCCATCTCCATTCCTTATTTCCCGAAATTCGAGTATGGATATTGAAAACCATCGTTTAGGGAAAGGTACATTCGTTTGGACAGGATGTTTAATAAATGGATACTACCTTTAACTAGGTAGGTACTAAATATACCTTTCATAGTCAATCCCTTTGCTTAACAATTTGTTGACCGGCAATTTTACACAGAAACTATGCCGCGTCACGGGTTATTATCGTGAGTAAATGGATACACTAATAAGAAGATTTATTTAACACAGAAACAGCACAACATAAATTATAACTAAATCTCGTCAAATAAATTCGCTTCTAACTGTGATATAATCTCTCGAGGACTCTCTCACACACAACGTCTATTTGTAATGACTGTCATTCACCTACTGATTATTTCTTCACGACTCTGTCATACTCGTCACACACACATTCTTCTACACAAACATTCCTCGCACTTGTAGCACACATTCTATGACAACCACTACTACAATTATTTTCTAATCCAATCTTCAAAATCACTTTCACGCGCAATATTCTATATCGCCCTGGGTTTCATAAATTGAAATAGATAATGCAAGTGCAATGACGAGTTAACTCGTCACCGGTTAACAATGTGTTAATTTAACGCTAAAGATGAAGATCGGAACACTACGATTTCGTTCGTCTCGTTCCCTGTTCGATGGAACGACAAGTCGCCAAAAGGAAGAAAGAAAGGTGAATTACTGGATGGAACAAGGTCCCAATAACACTAACATTTGGAAGCTAAGAAGGTTTAACGATGGCAGAGCCAAAGTGGGCGAACCGCGGAGATTTATACGAAGGGACAAGCGCGAGAGAGTGGAAGAGGGCGCGAGGGGTCTCGGGTTTCCTCGCGGGGTTCCTGCACGATGGCCGCCGCGCCATGGAACAGCAGTACATTATTTCTTGATGTCAAATAAAGCAATTAGCATGTGCCCTGACCAGGGTCCACGGGTTCTAACCCGAGTAATCTCGCCGGGGTCCCCGGCGTGTGCGACATCTTCATCAGAGGCGGACCCTCCTCTCCTTTCTCCGCCACTTTCTATCCTGCCGCCCCTTTCGCCGCACGATACTCCGCTCACGTGACCATCCTGCACCCCCTCTAGAGACGGGGTGGGTGTGGATGCCGACCGAGGAGCGGAGAAAGAGACGAGACGTCCACGACGACGGGGCGAAATTGCAACGCGGCGAGGAGAAATGGCCGAGAAGGCGGTGTCCGGCCGGTGCAGCTTCCAAGGGAAATTTCCACAAAGGCTGACCCGTTGCTAATGAATGTTATATAACCCTTTTAATGCTTTAAGCCTCTTAGATTTTTCAGAGAGCCCTCCACGCGCCTCCTTCGTCGCCGCCTCCGGACTCGCCCGACCCAGGAACTCCATCACACTCTCTCTTTCTCTCCCTGTCTCTCTCTTTCTCGCACCTTTTCCGCTCTCCCGGTGCACCAGAAGTGGTTTGCCGACGCCAGAGGAGAAAAAAGGCTGAGCGAGAACCGAGGGGGGTCTCGCCTCAGGGGTAGGTAATTATGTGGCGGACGTAAATTAAGCTTGTTTAGATTGGGATTTTTATTAAGGTCCTTTATGAAAGAGTGCCGCCGCTAAATGACGCCGCGAACACTTTAACCACCCGGAATTCCTTCGAGCCTTCATGGAAGAGGGAACATGGCTGCTTTACGCGCGGCCATGCGGAAACTAACAATTTTTATTTATTTATTTATCTGATATGACAGCAATTCGCAATTACAAATTTTACGCGGGATTTTTAGTAGATTGTTTATTTCCTAGTCATCGATGGGGGTTGTTTAAGGTCCTAGATACTCGAGAGATTAAATTCGAATTAATCGCGATTTTAATTTAATTGCGTCAGGTGTCGGGTAGCTTCTTTATTGTTTAATAACGGAAGGGGGTTGTTTAACGTCCCCGTTACGAATAGAAGGATAAGCTTGCGCGTTTTGAATTCTTTCCCGGAGATCCCAAGGAAGTCGTAACTAATGATCAGGAAGCGCGTATATAGCAGCGAGGCAGAATGTACCTAGCGACGTGTACGGAAGAAATAACTAAGGGTTAGTTTAATCGTACTTTAGGAGTCGAAGGTTTTAACCTCTCCGTTGTCCCCCATTTGCCGTGGGGTAAGAAAGGACTGTAGCCAGTCGTATAGCTAATGTCCAGTCCAGTTAGCTAATATATGGTACGGCACGAAATAAAACTCTGCTAATCGGAACACTTTCCTAGCAATATCCTTAACTCTGCCTTTCGGGCTGCCTTCGTTTATTATCATCCAGCGGAATTCGGATAAAAGCTCGCATCACCTTGTCTTATCCTAATCCTTCTTATCAGAATCCTTTTCCTTAAAATTCCTTTAAAAATTTCTTTCTTTGACTTTCATTACGCGGATAAAGTGTCACGAGCTGAACGAAGTTGATCGTTCGGTAGTGGTAACAACGGTGTACGAACCTCAAACCACCCCTGTTTCAGGACATGTTAATTTCAGTCCGTGGGTAACGAGAGGCTATTGCAGTATAGCAAACAACTAACCGCCTTCGCGCTAAGGTTTGTGTACCGAACTTCGGCAAAGCAGTTCGCAGGTACAAACTGCACTCTATAGATCGCGAATACGCATGCCTTCGAAGCGGCTGGAGAACGAAATTCCAAGCAGAAGTTTAATTCGAACGAACGGCCAGCAGGAGGTAAACGTTGAGCGATTTGTTCAATGCCTCGGTGCACTTTTCCACGGGAAACGGAATCGGGAAACGGTATCTTACCCATCGCGAGTTATCGTGCAGATACCTTCGCGTATACCGAATTTATCCTACGTGTCGCAAATAGAATTACCATCGCGTTTTCTCACCGTTCTCGAATTCCTCTAGACTCTACCAGGCAAATTAAATACCGATTTCGAAGCTTCCAAAATATTCGCGATATAAACGCAGCTAAATATACATAATCGCGCGATAAAAATATATAGGTAAACGTAATTATATAATTATCTATCTATTGTTTCCGGTTTAATAATTTCTCAGTAGTATTGTACGCCATAAGTCTGCCTCGCCGCAGACATCCGATCCCTCAACGATGTAGCAACTATCCAGCACGTCCCGGAGCATATTCCTCGAGAACGAGATAATCGATGACAATTAACGACCAGTCGCCGCCATTAGCGTGGACTGAGCTCTTCCAAGGCGTCCGCCAGGCAGTATCGAAAATCGAGATTCAACGTTGATTTTCTTGGATAGCTTTCGCGAGGCGAGGCCGGCTATGCTCGCTCGTTCTCTCGATTAGGCTTTGCCGTCATTAAAAGTTTATAAAGAAGCAGAGCTACCAGTCGAGGCACACAGAGAGAAGCGGTGGAAGAAGCGGGGGCAGGGGACGAAGGGATCAACACCCCACCTCGTCGAACGGGAGCGGGAAGAAAGTGAGGCAGACAGCGTAGGAGGAGACAGAGACGGGGAGAGATTCCGAGCAAGTTTTCTCATGTGCAATGCATAATGAGGAAAGGCAGACGGCGCATAAAGGGCCTACAAATGAGGCTCGGGTTATACATATACATTCCGGCTAGATACGCGCGTACACGCGCACAGAGGGCGCGAAAGACTTCGTAGAACCACCCCCGCCCGGGTTACACACCGTTACCGCCGCGACTTCTAAGCGTGCAACCGAGTTAAAAACTTCTCCCTCTGATTTTAGTTATCCCGTGGAAACTTCGGAAACGATGCACTCGTAAAGTTCTCGGTTAATCTCCTGTTTGTGCTGCGCTCGCGTTATGGCGCGCAACCAGCGCCGATCTGCGCGGGGGGGTGCAAGGGTGTATCTTTAGACCACTGTTTTCTGATAAATTACAGTGGTTTTTAAACGCGAGAATTATTTTCTTTTTAATTGATCTTGACTGTAATTCGATGACTATCCTAGCTTTCTCGTAACTATCGTTAACCAGCATATGGAGAATTCGCGGAATTCGCGATATCGAAACGCTCACTGAAACGATAATGACAGAATTTGGGAATCTCTGCCGATTTTTATGAAAGAATTCGATCCTCATGAAGTTAAGAAACTGCAAATTTGTCATTTCGAGTTTGATATATCGATGTTTCGGGAAAGAAAATTTGCGTTGTGAACAACGCGTGATTCCGTGAGTCTCTCAATGAAGTTTACTCGTGTCGGAGTTGTTGCTTGCCCGATATAGACCATTAAAATAATAGCCGTCGAAAATACGAACACGTAATGCCCGACGTATGCTGCATGAAAACCGATTAAAGGTGTTGGGTCGATTTTCCCTGGTAACTGACTCGCCGTGTTCGCTGACGGCCAATACAAATCATCGAACATGCTAGCAACTTGTTCGACACCAAGTATAAACGCGAATTTCAATTATCGCACGTTTTATTCTATACTATCGATCGATTCGCGTAACCGTGTTATCAATTCGAGGATAGAAGTACCTTGACTTACCTTGTTCATGATTTGGCGGGGATAGTCCCGCCTCGGGAGGGCCGACACTGTAACAGAAAAGAAATAATCGTTTTATTTTTCAAGTAACACTGTTTCATAGAACATTAAAAATAATTCTACTCGTATTCTTGCAATTTTACAGAAGATTCTTTATCTGGCACGAATTTGCTACACAAATTGAGTATTCTGTAGGCTTCTCGGAGGAAGAAACCATACAGAAACCGTATTAGGACTTTTTGATATGGAGTTGTTGAAAAATAAATTCCTACCTAATTTCTAAGACGAGAATGAATCTTCTAACACTTTGCACTTTCCGTGTCGACTCGGTCGAGTCCGAAACCTCACTGAACACGCGCGGTTTAGGCGTCGAGGACGGTTATGTTTATTTTCCGCGAGAGAGAATGGAGACCGTGCGTGTATTTCGCACGACCGTTCGACTGTAACTAATCGGCTAGTGGATCCTTCGAGAACGACACGTGCTAAGGTAGATTAATGCTTCCGTAGTAAATATTTGAACAAAGGAGTCTTCGACTGCCTTCTTCGAGACTTCGAGTCTTTGTTATCTACTGCCCCAGATATACCTCTCTGTCCAACAAATTTTAACTTTCTAAACGCGTGTAAATTACCAAATTTATTGCTAATAACAAATGAAAATTATTAATAATAAATTTCGCAATACATGAATAAGTAATAGGAAGAATAGGATTCTCTTTGGATAGCACGGATCTTCCCCACTGGGCCTGGGTGGTGATGCGAAGGGGGTGGCCAAGGGTCAAGGGTCAAGGATCACTGAGATACTCAGCAAGTTTAAGATTTGGAAAAATTAAAATTTATTGGACAGTATTATCATTAGATCACACCCATCAAAATGATTAATAAATTTTACTATACGATGTCTGTCAATTTTGAAGTTTCTCAAATTAATTTAGAAAAATGTTCTTCAAATACGATCATTTGATACATCTTTAACCTTTCACTAAAAATTTCTTATTCCTACGTGATCATTCGAATTACTTAACACTGTTCCTTAAAATTTTCTCAAATTTCATTCTTCCTCTTTCATTTCCTTATTCACCGTTCATTTTCTCACCCCTAGTGAGTTCAGTATTAATTAGTTATTTCACATTTCCAATATTCTCAGCCGCAGCAAAAGTCTGTGAAATTCGTAGAAAATGCGAATATACCTTGCTCGCATTTTCAACCCTCTCCTCAATACTGCGCCTCGTGACGGCAGCTAATGCACGCAGGTTAGTCCACGACCGTGCACCCAGTCCCGCATCTTCACCCCCGATCTTCTCCTCTCTTCTACCCCTCAACGGGTACCACCGAATTCCCGTAATCTAATGAATGGCCTAACCCCAATATCCTCTCGGCTCAGCCTCACCGCCACTACCCTCTATGTACCTCGGCTGTATGTACCACGCATGTAAATACGTTCACGAACGAGAGATTCGAGCGATATCGGCGCGGCAGCGACGTGTAACGCGTTTCTTCAAAACTCCGCTACCCTCCAGCGGCAATTAATTATTTTGACATTATCGAACACGTCGCCCCGTGACGCACCCTCGTCGAATCGACCGAGACGACCCGGTCCAATGTCCAGCGATTTTCACGCCTTCGATCACGGATTAATCGATCACGGACTTCCGTCAACTCCTTCGTAGGAAAAATAATAGACAGCAATCGCGGAGACGGTCGTAGACGCACGCTAGTCGAGGCAAACCATGGAACGAGACTTTGGAAACGCGGAATGGAGCAGGAAGAAATTAGTCGGGCGCAAATTGGCGAGAACTTTTCAATGCGCTTCGTTAGCTATAGTGACCCGTCGCGACTTGCGGCAGCGTCTGACCCGGCGAATTATACGCGGGTAAAAGCGGAAAACTGTCAGAAATGAGGAACGAGAAACGAGTATATCGCAGTTCGCGTCACAGTTCGAATTTCGTATCAAACTCCACGCATCCGTCGTCGTATTCCGATCTAGACCGGTGGAACAGCGGCTAATTGCTAATTACTCGACGGCGCGAGAGCAAGGCGAAGTTCTTTCTTGCAGAACGAGGGACAGACTCGAGACAGGCTGGAGGCAGAGACGGAAACCGGTCGCAACAGGGCGAGGAAGCGCGAATGTGTTTATTTTCAGGGAATAATAAAAAGGGTCGTCCAGCGTCCGTGGCGATCGTAGGAAAGTTGGGAATAATGTTTCGGACACGACGTTCGTCTGGCTTTGCCCGAGAGCTGTGCACCCGCTCACCCACTCGCACCCACACCCGTCCACCCTCTCCCGATCTCCAGCAGCCTACCCTTATACGCGTGTCCGCCGCAGATTCAGACTCCTAATTAAGACGAGGGTGCGAGAGGGGTTTCAGGGGTTTCTCCCGGGTTCTCCCTGAAGGGAGGTGGGAGGATGTGGGTGTGGGTAGTAGAAGGAGGGTTTTCACGAGGTAAGGGGCACCCGTACCGCGCCGGAGGGGTAAGCCAAGGCAAAGGGGGTAAGGAATATTGATCACGGGACCACCACGGCGGCGAGGCAGGGACTGGCCATGCTCTCCTCTCTCTTTCTCTCTCCCTCGCTCTCTATTTCGCTCTTTCTTCTTCTATTTGCCTCTCCGTCTCGCGTTCCATCGTCTTGCTCGCTGTAAGTGTGTCCTACGCTCTCTCACACGTCCGTGTCCCCGTCTTTCGGTGTTGCTGTTGGCGTGCAAGCACGGACCAGGCCAGACCAAACCACCAAACGCCAGATGCGTGAAATCAGTCGGTTAGAGGCTGCCCCGCAGCCTTTGCGAATTATTGACGCTGAAACCACGACCGCGGAGCAGATGATGCTGCGAGCTGTTTCGGATTCGGGAGTGCCGGCCCGTGACTTGGCGACACGAGTGGATGAAGGCGAGGATCGTTGGCAGAAATTGTGACACCTTGCTTGTGCAAAATTCGTGAAATCCTCGAATTCGTGGAACGTGGAACCCTTTCCGACGAATCGAAGACCTTTCGTTCGGGTCTTCTGCTATTTCCCACTCTCCATTTTCTTCTTAGATTCGTCAGAACGTCAGTTTGACAGGAAATGCGTCTACCTCGATAGCAGCCTAACGTTGATAGCGTTAACGAAGGAGAGAATTGGAAGATTCAGGTCACGGTAGAATTTTAGACGCGTATTCTGTATCATCTGGTGCATCCTGTAGACCTAACGCCTCGACATATATTAAATTGGAACTCTGATTTGGGTTTCTGGTATGTTCACGAGTAACTCCGCACTGGCATAACTTTCCAAGTTTATGTCCTACAATGAACTCAATATTCTGGGGTTCAGGGAACTTTTGTTCCAAGGTATTCTACTTCCCGTATCGCATTGTCTCATTGGAATCCCCGAGTCTTGGTGTACATATACATCGGTGATGGATTGAGCACGAATTAAATCGTGCTGTTTAAACCTCGAGAGGAATTAATCATTTAGAGACATGCCAAGGTACGATTGGTTCGAATGATACAAATTGTACAATTAGTCGAATCTAGAAAACTATTATACCAGTGTTCCCACTTTCGAAACTGTAATTCGAGATATTTATGGGAAAACGAATGCTATACGATGCCAATTTGGAACGAGCTCTTTCGTCGCTAGGTATTGCTACTTGATATTAGTAGTAAATGAACACGGTATATAGAGTGGTATTTAATGGACTAAAATTGAAATTTAATTTTAATCCACAATTTTCCCACTTTATTACTTGGCACAGTTTGTTAAATACCTACAGCTGCAAGCTATAGAGGATCCTGAGCATCGGTGACATCAACAGTGCCATTTCGGCGTCAGAGATAATCCTCGCTTAACGAAATAATTCACGACTACTCGAACCCACTCGAAATTGCCAAGACACGTAGAAAACAGGGTCGGAAATGAAATCTTGGAAAAACGAGAACAGGGCTGATATTTCCACGCGATCGGCGTGCAGGTGGAGCCAGTCAGACGAAATGGCTTCCCGCAGGAGGCTCTAATGTAGGAGAAGAGAGAAACAGGGCTGTCGGACGAAAGTTCAGTTCCCCGGAATCAGGGTGGCCTGACGAACTTTGACGCACACGCTCGGCCGAACAGAATCTACGCCGTAGACGTGTGTAGCGTTCTCACGAGTTTTCGAGCGATCTTCTAGAATGGCAAGAAGGAGGAGCTACTACTTGGCTCGTTCCCGAGGCTACGACAGGAACACCGGGACGACGGACGAGCTCGAGTTTACACGACGTAGCGACTCGTCTTTCTGTCCGTCGCTCTGCCTTAATTAAATCTCTCGACCCTTCCCGAAGAACCCGCGCTGCGCTAGCGGAGAGCTAGAAGTATAATAGAATGGCCCTCCCTCGTCGTTCCTCGCCCGACTCGCTGTCGTAACGCGTCAGCGTCGCGAGATTTTTCCTGCTAATTGTTACGAATGTCTACGCGAACTACGAGCCGGCATTGGCCCGACGAGAGTGCCACTTACACCTTCGGCTCGTTCTCTTCCAACTCGTAGTTTCAGCTTGCGGGGGTCAGGCTGGATGAGGATCGCGAGTGAGGAGATAAGTCGTGCGTTCGAGATTCGTGACCGATGCTAAAGTCTGAGGAAAAAGGCTCGCGAGATCATGAACTATTGGTATCGCTATGGTACTATGCAATAGATACACGTGTGTGACTATGACTAACATAGGCACGATGATGAAAACAGTTGTTTATAAAATATACTTTATAGACACGCGTCAATGTAGCTGGACAGTGAAATAAAAAAATTGTGACAATGAAATAATTACAATTTTAATAATTATTTTTCAAGAAATATTTTTCACGATGCTCGTTGCGTTCTAAACAATTGGTCAAAATAATCACATAAAAGGAAAGTTACTCAAGCTTCACATATATTTAACCCTTATATAAGTCGTAAGGCACCTCTCACGTGACAATAGTACATTGTCACTGCGGTTATATGTCACGTGAGAGGTGACAAGACGGAAATCTTTCGCATATTTACCGAAACCAGCTACAACCTAGTGAGGATCACGTATAAAAAGCTAG